CTGCGGGAGGCGGGAATCGGGTGGGTCGTCGCCATCGCCGTGGCCACCGTCCTCGTCGAGAGGGGGAAGGGAGAGGAGGCGGCGGCGGCGGATGAGGAGGAAGAGGAGGAAAGAAAGAAAGGAGGAGAGAAGGAAGATGGGGGAATATATGGGAGAGGGAAATGAAGGATGAGGAGAATGTAGAAGGAAGGAGGAAGGGGGGAGCAAAAGAGGAGGGGGAGGTGCCCTCTGGAGGAGGAGATGGGTGAGGAAGGAAGGAGGACGAAGAAGGAAAAGAGAAGGGAGCGGATGAGCTAGAGAAGGATGTGGAGCAAGGAGGAGGTGGCGGCGACCACGAAGACGACACTGCGGACAAGCGTCTGGGCCTATTTGAGACTTGGTCGGCAGAGCAAAATGCTGCCAGATGTGCTGGGAAGCACGCGGAGCGCAAGACATACATAAAGTCGTGCGTGGGGATCGGAGAGAAAGAGAAAGAGGGAGAGAGAAAGAGAGAGAAACAAAAAAAACGTCCTGAGCGTGAGCATCGACGTGAACATTGTCGCTTGCGCGTCATGCTGATTAGTCGTTGTGTGTGCGTTGCATGCGTGGTGCTTGATGCAGTCGTGCTCTGGGGGTTTGGGCAGAGGCCTGGACGTCTCTGGCGCAGGAGAGTGCTGATACCCTCGTCCCAACGCTTTCGGTGACTTCCCTGTTGTCATCAGCCTTGGTGTCGTGGAGAAGCGCTGGGTTGCCAATGTACCACCTGCCACGTTCGTGTGGTCCTGTCGTGTCTGGCAATTTTCGACGCAATGCGCCATGATACGTTATTATGCTTCCATATCTCCCCATGAACCATAACCATGATGATTCGATAACAATAGTGCGCCAGAAAAATGAACCGGGCAAGACTGGAATCAGGCGAGCTCCAACATGCAATAGGCGAGCCGCCAACAAGCGAAACCTTGGCCTGCGCATCAAAACCAGAACGCGCGTCCGCCCCTGGCGAAGTTGCAGGGCTGCCCCCAGAGCGCAGCCGCGAGGAATGATATGCGTTTCTGCATTGCCAGACAGCTGCGATGAGACGCCAGCGCGTCGTGGCAAAAACGCACTGCGCCTCGCGTGGTTCACTGGATGTGATGTGCTCTGCCCGTGGCCTCAATCTCCCCATTGCCGCTGCCATCGTCGCTCTCGGTGCACCGAGGCCTACTCGTCCTCCATGTCCTCCTCGTCCTCCGATGGTAACCAGAAGCCTGAGGCAGAACTGCAAAACAAGAGAGCCGCCGCGCTCAGACGAGAACGAGGACGGGTTGAACGATACCGACCACGAAGTGGGAGGGGGAGGAGGAGGAGGGAACGAGGAGGAGGAGGAGGAGGAGGAGGAGGGAAGGAGAAGGAGGAGGAGGAGGAGGCGGCGGAGGAGGTCATGGGAGGAACTGCTGCACGAGACACCAGGCACACAGGGTGCCACGGTTCGCGTAGCGGCTACGCGCGACGCCCTCCGGTGGGCACCCGCGTCACGAGGCACCCTCCCGCGCAGACGCGCGAGCCATGTCATTCGTGGCATGTCGTTCTGTCGCTGCTCATTATCATCGTACTTCTGGGACTCTTGGAAAAAAATATCCCGGCAAAGCAACCTAACAGCGATGTGTAGAAGCATACCTGGAAGCATCCCCCTTAAGATTTAGATGAGAATCCAGTTGTAGAATTCTGCTGTTCTCGCGGTCGCAGCCTCAGCCTGCCTCGGCTTGCCTCGGCCTCAGCCTCAGCCTGCCTCAGCTTCAGCCTCAGCCTCAGCCTGCATCAACCTCAGCCTCGGCCTGCCTCAGCCTCAGCCTGCCTCAGCCTCAGCCTCAGCCTGCCTCAGCCGCAGCTTGCCTCAGCCTCAGCCACAGCCTCAGCCTCAGCCTGCCTCAGCTTCAGCCTCAGGCTCAGCCTGCCTCGGCTTGCCTCGGCCTCAGCCTCAGCCTGCCTCGGCCTCAGCCTCAGCCTGCCTCAGCCTCAGCCTCAGCCTGCCTCAGCCTCAGCCTGCATCAGCCTCAGCCTCAGCATGCCTCAGCCGCAGTTTGCCTCAGCCTCAGCCACAGCCTCAGCCTCAGCCTGCCTCAGCTTCAGCCTCAGCCTCAGCCTGCCTCGGCTTGCCTCAGCCTCAGCCTCAGCCTGCCTCGCCTCAGCCTCAGCCTCAGCCTGCCTCAGCCTCAGCCTCAGCCTGCCTCAGCCTCAGTGTCAGCCTCAGCCTCAGCCTGCCTCGCCTCAGCCTCAGCCTCAGCCTGCCTCAGCCTCAGCCTGCATCAGCCTCAGCCTCAGCCTGCCTCAGCCGCAGCTGCCTCAGCCTCAGCCTCAGCCTGCCTCAGCAGCCTCAGCCTCAGCCTGCCTCGGCCTTGCCTCAGCCTCAGCCTCAGCCTGCCTTGGCCTCAGCCTCAGCCTCAGCGTGCCTCAGCCTCAGCGTCAGCCTCTCAGCCTCAGCCTGCATCAGCCTCAGCCTCAGCCTCAGCCTGCCTCAGGCTCAGTCTCAGCCTGCCTCAGCCTCAGCCTGCCTCAGCCTCAGCCTCACAGATGGCTCCGGGCAATCAAAATGTGGCCCAGGAATGGTGTTCTGGGAACACGAAGAACACGATGTGGCCTACAGTTGGCTCCGGGCATTCAAAATGTGGCCTGGGAATGGAGTTCTGGGAACACGAAGAGCACGAAGTGGCCTACAGTTGGCTCCGGGCATTCAAAATGTGGCCCGGGAATGGAGTTCTGGGAACTCGAAGAGCACGAAGTGGCCTACAGTTGGCTCCGGGCATTCAAAATGTGGCCCGGGAATGGAGTTCTGGGAAGTCGAAGAGCACGAAGTGGCCTACAGTTGGCTCCAGGCATTCAGAATGTGGCCCGGGAATGGAGTTCTGGGAGGTCGAAGAACACGAAGTGTGTGACTGTTTGCGAAAAACGCATTCGGACACGAGTTCGGACACAGCTCCCCGGGTCCCGCCCCGACCCCCCTGTGGAGTCATCTGCTGCTCTCTTTTGACACCACTAGAAACCTATCAGCAAACGCTGTTCGGTAATATCTACCCAGAGTCACGACACGTTTGCCACATGAGGACACGCTGCGCGAACGCGTGGTGGTCATGGCGCATGTTTCCGACATCGGCACCACCAGCAAAGAATTGGTGCGAAACGCGAACGGCATCCGACCATGTTGAAACTGCACTACCTTCACATTGTATATGGAAAATGCGGCGGTACTTTCGCCTGGGAATTCCGAACACTTCCAATTACCCAATTATGCATCCAGCCTGCCGGCTACACGTCTCGTGCCGCCGCCGCAAAATCGGACCCGCCGTCCTTTCCAACTCCTGTCAGGCCGTCTCCTCCATCAGAACCAGCCAAAATAAATAATGAAGCATGTGCCGATTCGACCATGCTCGCATCAGATCTGGCACAAACGGAGGTGGCGTCAAATGATGGATATGCGAAAACACTTGTGATGCAAACATGCAGCTGCAATCCACAAAAAGCCCCCAACGCTTAATGATCAATGCACGCCTGCTTCGTTTGGCGGCCAGGACGGTGGCCGAGTTTGCCGGGTATCAACAGTTGGTGGCCAAGACGATCCAAAGGACAGACTACATCACGAATAAGATCTTAGGCCTCATGGTTCATCGTCATTGTTCAAGGATGAGAAGATTGAGTTCCTTAGAGACATCATTGAGAGGACAAGCGATGCAACTGAGCAACGGATTCGAAACTACATTGTTCAAGGCAAGACCATGACCATCAAAGGTGTTGACCATGACCCAGACATCCTGAACGAAGCTCTCATAAAGAACGCTATCCAGACGCTTACAATTCCCAGTTTATGCACCAGCTTGCCGCCTACGAGTCTCGTGCCGCCGCCGCGAAATCGGACCCGCCGTCCTTTCCAACCCCTCGTATGCCTTCTCCCCCACCACAACCACCCGAAAAATACATGGTTGAAACATGTGTAGATTCGGCCGTGCTCGCATTAGTTCTAATACAACCAGAGGTGGCATCAAACGTTGGATATGCGAAAACAGTTGCGACGCAAACATGCCTCTCAGATTCACCCAACCCCAACGCTTACTGATCAATGCACGCCAGCTTCGTTTGGTGACCAGGACGGTGGCCGAGTTTCCCAGGTATCATCAGTTGGCGGCCAGGGATGAGAAGGTTGAGTCCCTTGCAGACACCATTGGCAAGACAAGCGATGCAACTAAGCAACGAATTCGAGACCATAGTGTCCAAAGCAAGAACATGACCATCGAAAGTGTTGCCAGGCATCCTACACGAAGCTCTCAGCAAGCACGCTGGCCACAAGAAAAGGCATGAGATCATTCGTGCATGATCTTCTTGTGGCACCGTCAACTGCAGCTCCTCACTTGACACCATCAGTGCGATGAAGACCCCATGGGAGCACGAATTTCCTGAGCACGTTCAACCGCAGCTGGGGGAGGAAGTGTCATGAGGAGTGGGGAGAGAGAAGGAATATCTGCATGAACGCTGGCCGTGAGTGGGGGCGTCTTCCGCCTGCTCGCCAGGACACACTGCGGACTACGTTGCACTCAATCCTCATCGGACCCCGCTCCTTGTATATGACGTTATCCTTCTTATCCTCCCGTTTTTCCTCCGCGATCATAGTCAGGGTATCTATCACCTTCGGTTCGTGCCAGCATGTCTCAGAACACCATTCCGCAGACGCACCTTCGCTCATCATATTCACACAGCAGGGGGTGGGGGGAGCAAGAGGAGCATGGGTGGGAAGACAGGGAGAGAGGATTTTTGTTACAGTGCTGCACTGCTGTGCGGCACTCGCACATAGTTTTCACAGCAGTGCGGCACTCGCACATCTGTGATCCTCGGCGTCACGTCATGGCCTGGTCGTTCCAGGCCAGCTGGACGGCTCGAGGCCAGATCGCTCGAGGCTGTGGAGGATCGCCCGACTGGATCGAACAATGGTCCTCCTATCCTCTCTGCCTTGCCTAACTTCCCCCTTCAACCCTTGCCGTCTCCTCCCCTCC